GACAGGGTTAAGTGACTTGCCCAGGGTCACACAGCTAGTAACTGTCAAGTATCTGAGGCTGAATTTGAACTCAGGTCCTCCTGACTCCAAGGCCAGAGCTTTATCCACTGCCTCACCTAGCTGGGGGCCCCCTATTTGAGTCTGACACTACTGTCTTAGACCAGTCATCTGCCTAAGCACACATCCCATGTCTCAAGACCCACACTCACACATCAGCCATCCTCCCTCTCTACTCTATCATGCTTACCTCCTCCAACCTTTACCTACATTGAAGTAGGTAAATGTGGATGAGAAAATGGACTGGACTAGTCAATTCCAAGATTTCTTCAATCTATTTGTCTCGGGAACCAAAAATCATAGTACCGTATGGTCCTACCCAACAGAGATAACTTCACTTCATAAGGCAGTGTTCTATCACATCAGTTCAGAAATAAGATTACTAAATGATATCCCTTCAAAACCTGTGAGCTCCGTGAGGGGACAGTATGTCTTCCCTGTGGAGGGGAGATACACATACTTAGATAAAAAGCATAAAATACTTCCCTGTTATCCCCAATACCTGCTCTTGAAGAGTTTCTATTTATGTGTTTGTATCCTTGGTGCCTAGAATAGGGGTCAGCACATAGTAGGCATTTAATAAGTGATTGTTCATTGATCATTCCACTTTTGTTTTTGTATATTCAATGTTCAGGACAGTGAGCAATTAATGAATTTTGGTTGAATGATGATCTCAGAGAACTATTGTTAAAATAATATTTGATATTTCTTTGGCCTTTCTCTCAAGGCCTCCTTGGTGTTCTTCTGAAAGAAAAAATTGATCTCATAAACTATGGCTCTCTCTGGTATATGGTATTGGAACTGTGTCACAGAACTGTGAAATAACTTGCTGACTCCAAGTCTCAAAGTTGACTGTGGAATTAGAACCTGGATCTCATGACTTCTCAGTACCTGGCCTCTTTTTTCACAGAAAAGGTATAATGGGAAGAGCATTGGATTTGGGATCAAGGAACCCAGGTTTGAAACTTGCTTTTGTCACTTGCTACCTTTGTGGCATTGGGCAAGTCACTTAAACTGCCTGGGTCTCAGTTTCCTCATCTGCAAGATAAGTGGTTGAAATAGATGACCTCTGAGGTCCCTTACACCTCCAAATACATAGTTCAGTGATCTGGGCCTTTTTTTTTTTAAGTTTTGACTGAGAGCTGGTCAGAAAATTAGTCAATTGGCTTATATCAACCATAGTATTCTCCTCAGGTGTCAATTAGCTCTCCCTTATCCTCTCCCCATGGCTAAAAGGGCAGAAGGATTTAACAGACAAACAAAAATAAGTCATGAGGGCTTCAGGGAGAAAATACAAAAAAAGCTGCATCAATCCTCACTTCTTCTAAGACCCTCAAAGCTTACAAACCCTTGGAAATCTAGACTCTGTGACTGAGGGGAACACAGACATTTCTTCCCATCCCTGCATACTCCCCCCCTTGTGCTGAAAACACAAAGCAGATGATGAAGCAGAAAGGATGAATGATGCACAAGGGAGGGAGAAGTATTGGGAAACAACCCCCAACCTTCAGCCAGTTTTCGAACATTCCAACAGGAATTCAATTGATTTATCCCGGGTTGGTGTAATTCCATTGTTTTCAACAAAAGGTTCTGAAAAGAAGACAAAACATGTATATGTGCTGAGTGGCCAGCAAAAGGGGAGGGGAGACAGGAGGGGAAAAGCTGGTCCAAAACAAAGCCGTCCCTTCTGCCCTATTAGAATTAAGGTCAGGCTTGAATCATATTAGTTTACATGTGGTTCATGCTCTAAGCAAACTCTGGTGAAACTGGGCAATTGGGAGGTGGTGATGACACCGTGGCTTAATTGGCCAATAAGCAGGGTAGTTGTTGCTCTGGTTGTGCCAGTTTTCTGGCTGAATACAGGCAGAAGATAGGCACGCCTTGCCTAATGTCATTAACTGGTTCCATGAAAATACAATATTAGGTAAAGTGACATTACATGGGCCGATTTGTCCCAGAGTTACATCAACCAGTTTCTGTCTAGATCATTCCAGTGGAGTTCCATGATTCTTCATCAAGGTTTTCTCTTAATGATTTGAGAGGCAGCATGGTACAATGGAGTCAGGAAGACCTAGGTTCAAATCCTGCCTCAGACACGTATTCATTGTATGACTGCGAGCAAGTCGCTTAAACTCCCTGTGCCGCAGTTTCTTCGTCTATAAAAATGAGAGAAAGGTGGACTTGATGGCCTCTAAGGGCCTTCTACCCTTAAACCTATGATCTTATGAGAATATGTCTGTTTTTAAGTATAAAGAGAGAGGAAGAGTGGTATAGTATAAAGAACGCTAGACTTAGGGTTGAAGTCTTGATATGTCTCTCACTCTAGTCACGGGACCATGAACAAATCACTCCCCCTCTCTGGATTTCCTCATCTGTAAAATGGAGATAATAATACCTGTACCACCTACCTCACAGTACTGTTGTAACAAAAAAAAAAAAAAAACAACCCACAAGCATTTATTAAGTACCTTCTGTGTGCCTAGGTGCTGGACAATCAGAAGTAAAGAATGAAATAATCCCTACTCCCATGGAGCAAAAAACCACAGACTAAACCAGAAAGTGTAATATAAACACAAGCAATCATCATGCCATGCCCAGTACAGTGCTCTGTACTGGGGAAGTGCTTAATAATAATTTGTCACATTGAACTGAAAATATACATCACTAATATGTCACCCTGGAGACATTAAATCTCCGGTGTTGTGTCCATCACTGAATTTCTCATTTGGAACATCTCATGGCAATGTTGGATAAAACAATCTTTTCATTATCCAAATGAGGAAACTGAGTCTCAGAGAGAATCAGTGACTTTTTCAAGGTCACATAGGTAGTAAGTGACAGAGGAGAAATTAGAACTCAAGTCATTTGACTTCAGAGTTAGGTTCTCCCCGCTCCCCACCATTGGTACTACACAGCAGGGTAGTCTCTTGGGGTTGTTCATTTGAATGCTTTATTTTTCATTTCCAGGGACCAGGAAGAATCTTCTGATAGAAGCCTTTTAGAGAAAGTCTTCAAAAGTACCTCTGCTACTTGCTTTATATTAAAAGTTCAGTATGACCCCTGAAATGGGTATTCTTGTAGCTCAGTCTATAGCATATTTAACATGTGAAATACAGGAAAAGGTCATCTGCTTTAGGGTTTTCAGGATGAAATGTCCAGATCCCATAGTCTTCTCAACCAACTTTAATCTGTTGTGGTTTTTAGTCTCCTCTGACCTGATATTTTATCAATAGGGGAACAATCAATAAAATTGTGAAAACTCTCTCCACTTAAGTAGGCCTAAAACTTATGGGCTTAGGGAGTTGCTCGGGACACTCTCTAAGGCCAACCTCTATAACTACCTCTTAACATTATTGTTTCTCAGTTAAAAAAATTGTGTTGGGGTAATCTATAAAGCAAATAATATTTTAGATATTCAAGGTGCCTTGTTTATTATGTATTTTTGCTGGAAGAGGTAAAAGCATAACACTAATATTTTCATATTTTGGAGCAAAAGGGATTTAGCTGCTGTTGTCATGTCCATTTTTAAGATAGGAAGACTGAGGGGAAGTGACTTCTCTGGCTTATATTACACTTTTAAAGTTCTTTGTAACTTAGAATGCATATATGTGTGTATACCCACATACATATGTATGCCTGTGCTTATATATGTATATATGTGCATGTTGAATTGGGACCAAAGATTCTGATTGAAATCCATGACCTGTAGCAGACTTTATGGTTCCCAGTCAGTCTTCATCAGTACTTTTAAGGTCTGTCATCTGTTATACAGAGATTTTAAGTGACTTGCTCAGAGTAATATATTGAATAAGTGTCTGAGGCAGAATTTGAACCTAGGTATTCCTGACTCCAAGTTGAATGCTCTTTCCGTTACTCTATGCTGCTTACTTTTCCCCTAACAAAGTTGTTTCATAATAGTACAGGATCATAAGATCTGAGATTTAGAGAGAGAAGGGACCTTCCGTCTAATCTCGAGGTTCCCAAACTTATATGGCTTACTGCCCCCTGTAAAAAAATTACTCAACACTCCCTGGAAATCTACTTTCTTTAACCCTTTACTGTTTGTTTTTTAATTTGCATCATTTCAAAAAATATAATTTTTTTTAAATGATGCATTGCACAGTGGATAGAGCTCTAGCCTTGGAGTCAGGAGGACCTGGGTTCAAATCTGGCCTCAGACCACTTGACACTTACTAGCTGTGTGACCCTGGGCAAGTCACTTAACCCTGATTGCCTCACCAAAAAAAGAAAAAAAATGTTGCATCTTAAATTTAATGTAAATTTGTGGGTTTTTCCTGCATTGAAATTTTGATGGCACAATATTGCATCATGTAACTGTATAGTATTGTGTTGTAAACAAATGATTACACACACATATTCCTGCCAGTGCATGCTGGACTTCCCAACAATGTGCAACAGGCTCACCTGCCAACACTTGCTTGTTAAGACCTGTTGGTGAACTTGATCACTGATTAGTTATAACTTTCATTTTGTGTGTTTATTTGGAAAGTAATACAATCACTACAACTTTGACTCTGTTACATAACAGATAAAATGTGTGCGAATAGTTTTTCAAAATTTTATCTTCTTTCCTTATGCTTCCTCTGCCCCCTTATTTTTATTCAATGCCCCCTAATTGCACCCCAGACTACTAATATCCCCCTATCATTCCAGTGCCCCCACAGGGGGCAGTATTGCCCACTTTGGAAACCTGTGATTTCTAGCGTAATCACCCTCATTTTATAGATGAGAATCAATCTCTCTCTCTCTCTCTCTCTCTCTCTCTCTCTCTCTCTCTCTGTCTGTCTCTCTCCCTCTCTCTCCAGTGACCTGACACACAGGAAGGGCTTAATAAATATTTGCTGAATGAATCAATAATCATTGCCAAAGAGATTAGCAAAAACCTTTAAATTTTACAAATTGTTTTTGGTCTTGCCTTCTAGCTCTTGAAAGAGGCTTGACAAAGGCATTGAAGAAACTGGATGATTACCTGAAAGCACCCCTGCCTGAGGAGATAGATGCTAATACTTGTGGAGATGACGAGAAGATTTCCAGGCGCAGGTTTCTAGATGGAGAGGAGCTGACCCTTGCTGACTGCAATCTGCTACCCAAACTCCATGTGGTCAAGGTAAGGCAGAAAGCCCCCTGGTACTGGCTCGGTGTCTTCCAAGAGCCAGTACTACCAATGGTGTCCAAGGCGATCATTTTTCCTTGAGTGAGTTTTTCTCCTTCATCCATATCATGCTTTCTCTCAAAGGTGTGTTTTTCTTCCTACAAAGGACCCGTCTTATCACTTCTTCTGGGTCTTTCTGACGCAAACTCTGCAAGTAGACTGTGCCTCACTGTTGTGAACCTCAAGTGAGATAGAACATGTATGCTAAGTGTTTTGCAAGCCTTGCTATGTGCCTGTTATTTTTTTCATATTGGTCTCTCACCATCCTTCATTTTTAGTAGTGCAGAAGAAAGGTGCAGCAAGCTATGGGACCTACCTGCTAGCATTGCATTTATTGCTTGTACCATGTACATTTTATCATATATTTTATCATAATCATAGCCTTATAGAATTGGGAGGGACAGTAGAGGTCAGCTGGTCCAACTTCCTCCCACCCAGTGCAAGAATCTTTTCTACAATTGCCCTGATGACAGCCTCTGCTTGAACAATTTTAGTGATTGGGAGTTCACCCTTTCACACTGCACTATCCTGTTGTTGGATGGGTTTAATTGCCAGAGCGTTCTCCCTTATACTGGGCCAAAATCTCCTTCTCAGTAGCTTCCACCCTTTGATCTTTTTTCCACTCATTAGAGCAACACAGAGCAAGTGGAATCCCTCTTCTTTGCTAGAATATAAACTCCTGGAGCAACAGAGTTTTTTTTTCATTTTTTTGTCCTTGTATTCCCAGAAACCTAACACAACCTCTAACATGTGGCAGATATTTAGTAAATATTTGTTGGTTGATTGATTCTATAAGGCAGCTCTTCAAAGAATTGAAAACAGGAATTATATCCCCCTAAGTCCTCTTTTCTCATGAATAAATCTCCCCAGCTTCTCCAGTTCTTCCTAATGTAACACAATTTTAAGATCCTTCACTATTCTAGTTGCTTTTCTTTGGACATTTCTTGGAAAGATTCTAGAACATATCATTAAAGAGATGGTTGGGGGCAGCTAGGTGGTGCAGTGGAGAGAGCCCCAGCCCTGGAGTTAGGAGGACCTGAGTTCAAATCTGGCCTCAGACACATAATACTCACTAGCTGTGTAACTCTGGGCAAGTCACTTAACCCCAATTGCCTCACCAAAATAAATAAATAAAAATAAAAATTTTTTTTAAAAAAAGGAGATGGTTGCTGAACATTAGAAAGGGAAGCAGTTATTACAGAGAATCATGAAGATTTCATTAAGATCAGGTCACGTGCCGCACTAACCTCATTTCCTTTCTTGACAGGATTACTAGACATGTAGATGAGAGTAGTACTGGGAATATAGTTTTACCTGGATTTTAGCAAAGCTTTTGATAAAGCAGAATATACTGTTCTGATTATAATAGCTAATACTTTATATAGACTTGAAGGTTTGCAAAGCTCTTAATGCATATTGTCTCATTTCATCCTCACAGCAATCCGTTCCCATTTTACAAATGAAGAAACTGAGACAGAGGCTAGGGTCACACTGCTAATGAGAATCTGAGGCAGGATTTGAACTCAGTTCTTCCTGATTCCAAGTTCAGCTTATGGAGAGATATGTATTAGATAATACAATCGGATTCAGAACTGGTTGGATGGCTGGAGTTAAAGAGTAGTTGAAACAGGGTCAGCATCAATATAGAAAGAGGTCACCAGTAGAATCCCCCAGGGATCCATTTCATATTTTTCTCAGTGACTTAGGTAAAGGTATTGGTGGTAAGCTCATCAAATTTGCAGATGATATCAAGCTGGGAGAGATAGCTCAGCCACTGGTTGACAGAGTCAGGATCCAAAAGGATTTTCCAGCTCAGGCCAGAGCAACAAGCTGACTCTAATAAGATGAAATTTAATAGGGATAAATTTAAAGTCTTGTACTTGGTACCCAAATACAACTTCACAAGTGTAAGATGGGGGAGTTGTGGTTAAGCAGCAGTTTGTCTGAAAATATAACATCTTTTATGTCTCATGACTCTCTTCCGCCCTACAGTGAATAAATGAATGAATGAAAAAAATGTAAGTTCTTTCAATGTACCAGGCACTGTGTTAAGCACAGGGTCCAAATATGCAAAGCAAGCAACTTGGCCCTCAAGGAGCTTACATTCTAATAGGAAAAGACAACACACTTAATGATAATAATAATAATAGTAAATAATGATAGCTGACATTTACATAGCTCTTTAAGATTTGCAAGGGACTTTACGTATGTATTATCTCATTTGATCCTCATAAAAGCCCTGAGAGGTAAATGCTATTACAAATGGGGAAACTGAGGCAAACAGAGTTTAAGTGACTTGTCCAGGGTCACACACCTTGTAAGTTTCTGAAGCTGGATTTGAACTCAGGTCTTCCAACCCTTTTCCAGTCTCCTATGGCTCTACTCATGATATCTGTGACTACCCAAATCACAATATCCCTCTCTGGCCACCACTACCCTGTGTATTGGGCAGGTCAGGAAGGATATTTTGGACCAGAAATTCATAGGAACAATGCATTTAATCACTAGGCTGTTGATTTTATGTCCTTTCTAAGAAAGAGTGTTGATTTGATTACTCAAACTGAGTAATCTCTACCAATACTCTACTGAGAGGTAGAAAGAATATGTGTGTGTGGGAGAGGAAGGGGGCTCAGGAGGAGGAAGGTGGAGGAGTTTCTGGGTCAGGAGAGATGTGGCAAACTCTTTTCAGTTAGAAGCCCAGAGCTCCGGGGCAGGAGTTGGAGTGCCAGGTCAGAGCTGGAGGCTAGCATGTAGGAGCATGGCGTGAAGGTACGTTAGTTAGTCAATAAACATTTATTTAGCATACATGTTCTATCTCACTTGAGGTTCAGAACAGTGAGGCACAGTCTACTTGCAGAGCTTGCATCAGAAAGACCCAGAAGAAGTGATAAGATGGGTCCCTTGTAGGAAGAAAAACACACTTTGAGGGAAAGCATGATATGGATGAAGGAGAAAAACTCACTCAAGGAAAAATGATCGCCTTGGACACACTGGTAGTACTCTAAGCTTCTTGTAACTATTTGTTGCCAATTTTTACTGGAGTCTGAGGCCAAATCTATGTATATGGTCTCTCAGTTGAATTGGGACATGGTCTAGTTGTAATCCATGACCTGTAGCAGACTCTGTTGTCCCTAGTCAGCACTCATCAGTACTTTCCAGGTCTGTGATCAGTCAGTCAACAAGCATCTATCGATATCTTACTTTGTGCCAAGTACTATTCTAAGCCCAAGAATACAAAGGAAAAAAAAAACACAGTCCCTCAAAAAACTCATATTCTAATGGGGGAAATGTCATAAAAACAACTATATACATTATCATCATAACTAGTATTTATGTGGCACCTACTATGTTCCAGGCACTGTGCTAAGTGCTTTACTATTATTTACTGTTATTACTTATTATTATCATCTCATTTGGTCCTTACAACAATTGAAGTATGTGCTGTTATCCCCATTTTATAGATGAGAAAACTGAGGTGAACAGGGATTAAGTAACTTGCTCAGGGTCACACAGGTAGTAAGTATCTAAGGCTGGATTTGAACTCGGGCCTTCCTGATGGTAATCTCAGAAGGAAGGCAATAGTTTCTAGCCAGAAACTATGAGTGAACCAGATGTGTCAATATGGTCTGGAAAAACCTGCACAACCTGCTTGCTGACTTGAGTCAGAATGATGGTTTGGGGCTGATCCAGTGGTCATCTGTAGTTCTGGCCAGAGTGTATTTCTTTACGGTCATCAATGACTATAGGCCTTTTGATATCTTTCCAAAGCACACTTTATCTTTTTTTTTTGTCCTGAAGGATACTTGCTCCCATTAGGAATGCCAGAATTCCAGTCCAATTCACTTAGCCAGGGTGAGGTGATAGGAAAACGACAGGACTGAGAATCAGGTCACCTGGGTTCTTGCCCAGGTTCTGCCACTAACTAGCTTTATGACATGAGGCAAGTCACATAACTACTTTGGGTCTCAGTTTCCCTTTCTGTAAAGTTGGGAAATTAAAATAGATTCATTCATTCATTCATTCATCCAACCTGCTCACTTTACGACTGAGGGATCTTTTATTGAATACCTGCCATGGGCAAGGTGGTGTGCTTGGTTCCAGCTCTTGGAGGCTATTACAGGACCTCCTTCTTGAGGAACACTCCATTAGTCACTCTCTCCCACAGAAATGAGGGATCAGTTACGGGATGACCGACGGCGGGGCATAGAGGCCAGGCAGCATATTGTGTCTCCTTAGATTTCTGCTGATCCCACTTATCAGATCCCAGAGACCCGGCAAACTTCTGCGAGTCAGGAAAGATGGAAGTAGGGGCCAAGTCGTGCCTCCGGTTTGGTTTCTGGAGCCAAGACTTAATCTGGGCTGTGGGAGCTAACTGTTTTCATATGAAAAAGCAAATTCAGAACATGAGGCAGGAACGTCTCTGTGCACGTCAGAAAGTCATGTGCGTACATTCTCTCTCCCTTGGCTTCCTCTCAAGTTCATCCTCATACATGGAAGCTGAATGGACCTGGCTGTAGCTCTCAGCAAAAACCTGGTTTGAACTTTCGTTGTCTGAAACACTTGTAGCTCACCCCTCCGGGAGTCCATTCAGCAGACAAGGAAACAAATCGGCCAAATCAGTGCAGTTCTTTGAGAACTCATCCAGGCCTCCAGGAGAGCTGCAGGGAAGGCAACTTTCCCTAGTTTTAGAGGATCTGGGTTGAAATCCTACCACTGCCACTACCAGTGTGACCTTGGGCGAGTCACCTAACTGCCCTGGCCTCAGTTTCCTCATTTGGAAAATGAGAGGATTAGACTAGGTGTGTCCTAAGGTGATCCTTGTGATCAATTAATTACAGAGGGATTGCATGTTCTCCTCCTCCTTGTTGTTGTTCAGTCATTTTCAGTCATGTCCAATTCTTCATGACACCATTTGGGGTTTTCTTGGCAAAGATACTGGAGAGGTTCCCCATTTC